GACAAGAAAACCCATCCCTCCCACGACCACAACCTCCCAGACATCATAGAGCCACCACACTCAAGTAAAGAAACCATTTCAAGAGCAACCTCCCAACCACAAAACATCCCCAAGCCACCTCAATACCAACAACCCCCCTTCTCCTCACATCAACAACCAGCACCAACACAAATCTTCAGCAGACAAAAAAAGCGCAAGCAAATCAATTTCAAAGCGGGGTAGAATGTGCTGTGCTCTCTGTGTGTGTGAGTGTGACTGTGAACATAATGGTATAAAAGGACAGGGAAGTACAAAAAGTGTAAAAAAAAGCAAAAGAAAAAGAAAAGCCAAAGTGCGTTTCATGCCTGCTGCCTGCTTCTCTTTCTTTCTCTTGCCCCCGCCCCCTTCCTTCCCTGCCGCTGTCCCTGCTTGAAATTCCTTCTGCTTTATCCATTCCCTCCCTCTTCGCTTCCTTCCTCGCTTGCTCCTCGTAATATCCCCCTCTTCTTTCCCATGTTTCTCCCTGGTTGTAATCGTTGATGGCTGGGTCGCCGCAGCGTTTCGTAGTCAACAACAGAGTGTAGTTCTGTATACCTCACGCTGTCCATGTGGGCGTACCAGGTCTTCTGAATGCAATAAGGGAGGGGGGCGAATAAGACGCCATGATATCCGGCGCTTGCTGTCAATCTCGGCTTTTGCGACTCCGGTCGATCGGCCATGCATCCTGCCTTTGGCTAATTTGTAACAATCTTTCAGCATTGCGCTCCAGAAACAATGTTTGGCTGTTGGGAGATCAGACCCACGACATGCGTCCAAAGGAGCCGCATGTCAAAACCATCCGCTGCATGTAGCAAACTCCAACGCCCCCCTGCCCAGCATAAGTCCATGGCTGCGCCCATCTATCCAACTTGTGGCTTGGCTGGTTGGTGAAATCAGTGCCAGGGGCTCTGGTTATTCCCCATGAACCCTTCCTCGAGTGTTCGCTCCTCCAGGTTGCGGATGAAGTTGCGTCCTGGCTGCTGGGCGCGGCTGCCCCTTCTACCTGTCCTGGTCGATGGCCCGCCCTGGTCCATGCCCACCAAGCCATCAGGAGGTGGTGGATAATAAGCAGGACTTGGCTGTAATCGAATCGGCTGGCTTGGGTCGAGGTGGCTGGCCACCCTTTGAATGGCAGCGGGAATACCGCTTTGTTGCTGCTCCATGGTCGAGGCACGCGGTCTGGGTTGTTGTTGCTGACGGTTTTGCTGCGAATACATATTGACCTGTGGAATACCGCCGGCAGCATAGTTTGCTGGCGGCATTTGGGCAGGCGGTTGTTGTACGCCCATTTGGCCGTACCCGCTCGGTTGGCTGGCATATGCAGGTGGCGCGCCGGTATGTGACCCGCTAGGAGAATACATGGTGTTGTTGGTGTACAAAGGTGGTTGCTGTGGATGCACTGGTTGTTGATACTGCGGTGCACCCATAGACCCGTATGCTCCCTGCGCCGCCGAGCTGGCCTGAGCCTGAGCCTGCGCTTGCTGTGCCCTCTGCTTGCTCAGAGCTTCGGCCTGAATCTGCTGCGTCGTGCCTGGGGCAGGCGATCTGTTCAGGGCGCTAGACTTGAGGTTCATTGGCGGCACAAACTGGCCGGTATACTTTTGTTGGGTGATGAAAGGGTGCAGTTTCGCTTGCTGTGGCGACCATCTCTCGAGTGGGTTGATCGTCAAGAGGCCCCTGACAAAGTCGATGAACGCGATGCGGTTATTCATCTCTGCAAAATCCAAGTCAGCTTTTTCCCCCTCGCCTGCGTATAGGCTTCAACATACCTCTATCAATCTCCGACTGCTTCATGTTCTTCCGGGGCATTGGATACGACTTGATGATCTCAGGCAGCGTGTTCGCCTGGAAATACTTCTTGCTGGGCTGCTCCTTGGTGTTGTGCTCCCGGGAATACTGCTCCATGCTCTTCAGGTGATATGTCCGCCTGCCAAAATCATCCTGTCTCTTCTCGAAGAAATCACCAGCTTGTTTGCCCACCTCGATCATCCAGTTTGGTGGATTGCCAAGCATCTCAACGATTCGCGAAACCTGGTTGTACTCGGAGGATCCTGGGAACAAGGGTAGACCCAGGAACAGCTCGACCACGATGCACCCCAGCGACCACATATCGATTGCTGACGAATATGGTAAGCCTAGTAGAACTTCGGGTGATCGGTAGAAACGCGACTGGATGTACGTGTACACAGTTTGACGCTCGTCGCAGGCGGAGCCAAAGTCAATAATCTTGATAATCGGGCTCTCGAGGTTTTTCAGCAGGATGTTTTCGGGTTTGAGATCGCAATGAATCAGCCGCGCCTTGTTGAGCAGCGTAAGCCCGTTAAGCAGCTGCTGGGCAAAGACTCGGACCAGCGTCGTGCTCAACCCGCGGAACTGGTTCTGTTTGATGAGCTCGTACAAGTTGACGCTCAACAGCTCGAAGACCAAGCACAGATGCTGCCTGTGAATGAATGTATCCTTGAGCCGGAGCAGATGATGATCGTCGTTCTTGTCGAGCTTGGTGTTGAGCTGCCAGCCGCGATTAGAACACAAGATCAGCTCTGTGAGGGAGATAGACCTACCAAGTCAAGCACAGACACCTCCATCATACTTTGGTTGAAGTAGGCGGTCCGGTTCTTGATCACCTTGACAGCCACGACCTCTTGGGTCTTGAGGTTTTGGCACTTGACAACCTGGCCGAAAGTACCTTGGCCAAGAACATCCAAAATCAAGTAACGGTTCCTGACCCTCGCAGTTAGCTTTCGCTTCAACCTCTATCGCAATCAAGACTCCAACATACTTGTGCCCGGCTTCCTCAGAGCCCAGGATATCGTTGACATAGAGGATATAGTCACTATCCTCGTTATCAAACCCATCGTTCTTCACACCCTTGCTCGGTTTCGTCAGGACACGACGGGGATTCCGTGCCGAAGAGTACTTGAAACTGGGATTGCAAATCTGGTACGTGGCTGGAAGGTGCGCCGTGAGAGCTTGGAGAGGCTGTTGAGAAGTGTCAGTACATACGTCACCGGCATGGGTTCAAAATCTCGGCAATCTGGACGTACACTGATGAAGCCTCCCTCAGGGTTGGCTCTCCGGAACGGCGGCTGCGCGCTGATCTTGGGCTTCAGGTCAGATGGGCCTCGAATCTTCCTGAACTCGGGCACCGGGCCCTTGTCGTGCAATTGCATGGCTTGTTGGGGGGCACGCTTGGGAGACTTGGGATCCATGTAAGAACCGTCCATGGCCGAGATGTTATTCGACGGCGAGTAGTTGTCTGGAATGGAGGAGTAGGGGTTTAAAGGAGGTAGCTGGGAGGCGGTTTGGCGACTACTGTTATAGTACGGGTTCTGCGGGGCATAGTCCGACGATCGGGTCGGCGACTGTCGTTGCTGGGGCTGCGCATACTGGCTACCTCCAGTTGACTTGTATGGTGATGTAGGAGACAAGACTTCCATGGGTGAGTATCGTTGCGCAGCGGTCGAGGGCTCTTGCTGCAAGTTCGCGGCTCGTCCACCAGAGAGGTGGTGGGAATGATGGGGGCGCAGGGGATACTTGACGCTGGAATTGACGCCGGAGTAGCCATCATGGGCATCCTGCATGGCGACGTCTCCGTTGCCGTCGCGAATCTGGGGACTGGTCATGGGCGAAGACGATGAAGATGCCTGCTGCACCTGCTGCTGCTGCTGCTGTTGTTGTTGTTGTTGCGGGTTTAAGCCGCCTTGGTACTGGTCATACTTGAAGCCGGCTGGAGGTTGCGCCGCGGGCTGTCCATTGCTGGAGTACTCTCTGGGCGACATCTGGCTGGAGCCGTTGTATCGTCGTGAACCGCCAGCGCTGGTCGGCTCGGTGTATGACTGCCACTGCTCCATGGCTGCGGGCACCTCGAGATGCTTCGCTCGGAGTGAGTTGCGTCGTCGTTTGCGATGCGATGTTGGAGTTGCTTGTGTCGCAGAGGGTTTGGGGCCTTTGGGCTCGAAAGTGGGAGGGGGGACCCGCTCAGCGACGGCGGAGGCGGGTCACTGTCGAGCCAAGCAACCGGGCAAGGTCTCAGGGATGGAGCCGTTTCTCAGCACGACCTGAGCTTGGAGCCTAGGTCACAGCAGGACAGGGGCGCTTGGGATCTTCTCTTGTTTTGCGCGAGCTAGGAGAAGCGGGAGAGAGAGCAGATCAACAAAAGGATGGACGAGAAATACCTAGGACAGACGGATCAGGATCTCATTGTGCCAGAGGTAGGAGGTACCTGTTGTGGGGGGGTTGAAAGAGCTGAGTTTGGCGGGAGTGGGAAAGTTTGGGAGAGCAACACCACGCACTGCACCTACGGCACCGTGGGGACCACACGATTTGGCCGTGTCACGTCAGCGCCAACGTGAAAGCAATTTGCAAAGTAATCGCTCGGTAGCCAGCTTCGGGCTGCCTGCTGGCAATTCCTTTTTCGACGGAATTGGCTCTTCACTCGTTTTACTGTCTACAAAATGACATTTCCCCTGTCGTTGCGAGAAAACTCTTTATCTTGTTCTCTATCTTGTCGTTTCAGGTCTGCCTGTGGCAGCTGGAGGTCTTTGGCACACACATGCCACACACGACACAACAAGATGTGGCCCAAGCTTGATACCACCGAATACGCGCTGGAGGGGCAAAAAAACCGCTGATCTGGCATCTGAATGTTACCGCATTACGACACTTTTCGCGATGATCCTTCCAAGCTGATTTCAGCAAGATGAAGACTGTTACTAAGTCTATATTGACAGAGGGTGCAGCGCGATAACAGAGATGCATATCGAGTGTGGTCTTCGGGATCCAACCGGGTGTATGAGCAAGAATCAGTTGCCATACCTAGACGGGGATGCAGCTATTCATTCAAACTTCCACGCCACTCGAAAAGCCGGGATTCTCTTGACCCTCAGTATATGAGGTGGCTGAACATGACTACGGAGTTTCGTCTTGATGGCTGGCATAATCACAAACCTACCTCCGTAAATGATATCAGTGACCACCCTCTTCGATAGCGACTTACAGTGGTTGCATTCTGGTGCTGGTCCCGCCCGGGTTCACCGTCGACTATTCGAATTTGACGACACCGAGGCTACAGAGGTTATCATTGGGGTTCAATCTGAAGATGAACAGACGTCAGCAAACTTGTGGTGTTGGGCATCAACTCCTCAACCCCCAATGTCTCAGTGCCCCTTCAAGCAGCAGGAGTCAGCATAGCCGCCCGTCTTTCCGCAGCAGTCAAGCAATCGTCCGGCCCAGAAAAAAAAAACCTTTTCCCCTGCTGTTTGCATGCATTGGGTTGATAGCCACCGGTGAGCCAATCGTAAGAATGCCGCACCGGGCGACCAATCAAGATCCGAGCTGCTGCACACAGATATCACCACTTCGTACAACTTCTCACAGCTCAAAAGATGAAAATGCGTAGTAGTAGAAGGAAAAAAGGGGAATCATCGACTTTCCAATTCATAACCCTCGCGTGGTTTTTGCCCGTTAGGCCCATTGTGTCCAAGCCTTAGCACCGATTTTTTACAATCTTCCCGCTTTCCAACCCAATCCAGTCCCCAGTCCAAGTGCATACTCCATCCGATATTAGGTGTCGGTCGTGGGACCTGTCAAGAAAAGAAGACAGACGTACAGGAAAACTAGCCGAGCGACTCCACGTTCCACCTTTTAATAGAGCGAGTATACCAAAAATGTCGTGTTCTCATCAGATATCAAGAGCAATGAGAAAATGGGAAGTCAAGCTAAGGAAAAGGGCCCGAAAGTGTGCTCCCATGTGGTATCCTGAGCAGTGAAGAAGAAAAAGAACAGATCAAATCATTGTGAGAGGCGTTAGTCAGATCAGAACCAGAGAAAAAACAAAACTACAAAATCCCGAGAAGAAATGTCGAAAGTCCAAGATCAAAATCAAACCAAAATCAAAAAAGATCAACAGAGGTAAATCGTGACGTGAAAATATCACCAGCAAAGGAGAAGAGAAACAACAGAGAGAAAACGCATTCGAAAACGAGAAGAGTAAAGCATCCGAAGAGAGGAGGAAGAAACGCAATAGCAGGCCCCAGATCCCAAACCCATATTCCCGAAATATCCATCCGAACCGTTGTTCATCGTTCAGATGATCCTCAAACCGCATGGCGAGCGCGAACGGTACGACGCGGATTCATGCGCCCACGCGCCAGGGCCTTCTGGCCAGATGAAAGAAAGGAAAGAGGCTTCGCAACTTTTCCGCCGCCGCATCTCTGGTATCGACGAGACCCGGACAACTAACCCTGGTAACCAGAATAGCCGTTGTTGCCAAAGTTCTGAGGCGGGGCCTGGCCCTGGTTCCACTGTTGAGCATTGTTCGGGTTCGGACCCTGACCGCGCCCGTAACCGCCAGCACTGGGGGGACCACTGTAGCCCATAGGGCCACCGCCGTACGCAGCAGGAGACTGAGCCTGAGCTCCAGTGTAAGCGGCCTGCTGACCAGGACCAAAGTTGCCTAAAAACACGGTTAGCCAGTTGGTTACAATCGCGATCGGAATGGAGAAAGAACATACCACCGTACTGGTTAAAGTAGGTAGAAGGAGTTCCAGGATAAGCGGGGGTCTGCGCGCTCTGAGGGCTGTACGCCTGGTTGGGATCGAACTGAGCCTGCTGAGCCTGAGGAGTCTTGTCCTTGCCCCACTATATATTGTTCTGTTAGCACTCGAACATGACAAAGTCAGGATGAAAGAATGGTACATACGCTGCACTTGAGGGGGCGACCATTGACATTGTAGCCGTTCAACTGGCAAATGGCCATGGCCGCATTCTCATGGGTGTCCATCTTGATGAAGGCAAAACCACGGTCCGCCTGGAAGCGGGACTCAACCACAAAACCAAAGTTCTGGAAAAGCGGGACCAAGTCGTTCTGGGTGGTGTACGGGGTCAAGTTGCCCACGTAGCAAGTTGTCTGCCAGGCCGGAGTCTGATTGACAATCATATCGTAAGAGTGAACGCCGTGGGTGGGGAAGTGATGATGGCCGTAGGGGGTCGTCGGGGTCATGCCCATCTGCTGCATGGCCTGCTGCTGGGCAATCGAAGGCTGGCCCTTCTGGTTGGCCCAGTTGCAACGGATGGCGCGAGAACCGAGCCACTCGCCGTCCATGGAGCTCAAAGCCTTCTCAGCCTCGGGACGGTCGCGGAAAGCAACGAAGCCATAACCGCGAGAACGGCCAGTCTTCATATCCCACATGACACGAGCCTCGGAAACCGAGCCGAAAGCGGAAAAGGCCTGAAGAAGGACCTCATCGTTGACCTCGTTAGAAAGATCGCCAACAAAGATGTGGAAGTGGTTGGAAGTGTCCTCCTTGTTCGTGTTGTTCGACTGATAAGCCCAGTTGACACGAATTTCCTGTACAGAAAAAGCGTCAGCTTCAAGTAACAAATCATCCAAGAAAACTCGAACTTACAGCCTGGTGAACACGACGGCCGTTCAAAGTCTGCATGGCACGCTCAGCCGAGCCGGGATCATCATATTCAACGAAGCCATAATTGTAACCCTTCGCCTGTGGCATTCAAGTCAGTCAATGTTGCTTTGTATCAGGCCATGAACTCGACAGTGCGACTCACGTTCTTGTCCGGGATGATCTTGACGTTCTGGACGTGTCCAGTGGTCTCGAAGATTTGACGGAGAACGTCTTCGGTGACGCGGGGGTCGAGGCCACCCACGTAAAGGGCCCTCTTGTTGGGCTCGGGAGCGGCACGACGGGCGAAGGGGCCACCGCTCGTGGGAGAGATGATCCCACTCTTGTCGCCGCCGCCCAACGGCGATGTGATCGCAGTTGGGATGGGGTTGGTGTTCTGCGGGATATGGAGGGGCGGCGGGGGCATGTGCGCCGGGTTGCCATTGCCCTGGCCGTTCTCGTAGCCGGGCGCGCCGGCGTTGGCCTGGGGAGGAGGGGGGAGTTGGCCGGAGGCCGAAGCGGAACCGTTGTCAGCCATTTTGTTTGTTTGTTCGCTGGTGGCCGATGGATGTTTATACGGAAGTTCTTGAAGAGTTCGAAGAATCGCGACGTTGGGCGAAGCTGGCAAGGAAGACTGTCGTCTTCTTGGCAAAAGAAAGCCCCACTGTGAAGCTGGGCCGGCAAGGAAGCAAGCGAGCAAGAATACTTTGCGAAAGAAAAGAACCGGAGTGCTGGTTCCTGTTGTCGCAAAGCGGAGAGAGATGTGAAAGAAGAGGAAAAGCGTCAAATAGAGCAGAAAAATTTCCGACTCTTGTAGTTGCGACTGAACCTGGCGGGGCTGTTTTGAGCCTGGCCAACGATGCGAGATGCGGAAAGCGGGGGGGATAACGACAGCGTCAGCGCCTCCTTCCCGGTGTCGATGGATTCCGTTGAGTTCCGCGCCGAGAGTGTACGGGGGTAGAAGCTTGGAGTTGAGGGCTGTCGTCCTAGCTTTGCGATACTTGCGATATGACAGCTAACGGTAGGAAAGCGGAGACAAGCTCAGCCAGGCAAAACTGAAAGGTAAGGTTGGTGATGATGATAAGAGAAACCGAGACCAACAGTGAAAAAAACAGACAATCAAAGGAGAAACCCCCGAGAGTTGCTAGCAGCTGGCAGCCCGGTATCTGCGCCGACTACTTGACGAAGGAGAGGGGAAACAAGAGAGAAAAAACCCAGAGAGTGAGGAGAGCAAGGAGGTGATGGGAGGGGAAGGATTTTGCTCCAATCGTGCCATTGTCCTGGAATTGAGAGAAGCGGCACACAGTGCGGCGGCACCTTGATTGGGAGGGACGGCCTGGCCCCTCTGGAGCACGCTATGCCTATCGGTGATCCGTGCTCTGAAGTCGTCCCGTGTGTCTCCCTGCAGGGCAGCTGTCAATTGGCCTGGATGTAGTGGCCAGCCTTCTATCACGCAAGGCTATCTACGGGGAACCGAGGAGGGGTGGTGTTGGTGTTGGTGGGAGCGTTTACCGGGCACCAACCATTAACGGAGGCTGTTTGGGACCATCTAGAGAGAGATGGAGAGACGAGTACAAGTGCAACTGGACTCGTAATGGTACGCTTCGAACACAATCACCTAGTTGCCTGTTTGCGTTCTGGATGTGGCGTGTTTGCTAGCCGAGTCTTTGGCTGTCCCAAGCAAGGCCAAGTGAAGTGACATGCATGCATGTTCCAAAGCATTCGCATCTTGTGCGTCTCACCCCAAGGCAACATCTGCCTAGCTGTAGCCCGAGGTGCTAGGGCACACACATGCTTAAGTTCCTGTCACGCAGGGCCTCGTTGTTTTAAAGACAAAAGGGTCTCCTCCATTTCTTGAGGGGCAAAAAGGGCAAAAGGAGCAAAAGAATACTTGTATAATTCGAGTACAAAATCATAAAAACCACAGGAAACCCTGGGTACGCGAGATACAACGCTTCAGCACTGGCCCTGCCCACTGCACCAAAACAAAAAAAATTAAGCTTAAAGACGGGGATACTTGTATATATATATATATACATACCTTATCTTTCTGTCGGGCAGATGTTATTTTCACCTACAATCTCTTCTCCGCCAGTTTGAAAAGGTCTTTCCATCTATTCCTTTGTTGCGTTTGCTCACTGATTGCTTTCGGGTTCACTGGGATAACACTTGTGAGTGAGATAGTGGGGCACTGGGGGCAGCTCTTAAGAAACGAACTGGCCCCACCCACCTATGGGGTGCCCCACTGGAATTTCTCTCATTGGTCACCAGGCAACGATATACTCTGGAGTAGAGAAGCGCTGTAAGCAATCAAGTCAGGGTCAACGACTTCAACTTCCAAAGCTTTCAGCAACTGAGAGCAAGGATTTGAGAGCTAAAACCAGGATTTAATATATCGCCTTTTCAAGTTTGTTTTTCCTTGTCAGGTCCGCTTTTTGGCAAAGACAAACGACTGGAATGGAGATAAGGACCATTGTCAGTTGTTGGTGCGTTTGAGCGTCTGTTTTCTTCTCGCCAACCACCCAACCAATCCCGCCAAGTCCAACCGTACTCACAAGGAACTCCTGGGACGGACGCGCTCCACGATCCATATCATCGGTACCACGCAGCACTTCATTCCGGTCCTCGGCCTCAACACCATCTGCCCACTTACCACGGCTGGGTAACATCTTCAGCATCAACTCAGGATGGCGGCACCCTCTGCTTTTCAAGTGAGAGCGCCTAAAGTGCCTGTGCTTGAACCTCTTGAGAAGGGACTCAACGAAATAGTACGCTTCTTTTCACAGAAGACCATGGCACATGTCTCTGTCTAACACAACCTCCAGCTTGTCCTCACCGGTAAGGCCTTCAGAGCAGCTGGTAAAGACCCCAAGAAGGGAACACCGCAAGAGACAGCCGCAGCCATCAACGCGCAGGTCCCGGCGGTGATAGGAAGATTCAACAATGCGCTGGATGATCTAGAGTGTGATCTCGTAAGTCAAGGTCTTCCAACCGCCAGTGGCCAATGAGCAAACACTTAGCAATATCAGCTGCGAGCAAAAGCCGTCCTCCTTCGAGATCTGAATCAGTTGAAGGCAAACCGGAAACCACCCCCACCGCCAAAGCAAAAGCCGGTAGCTCCTTCAGCTGCCTCCATCCCGCCGGCGCCTATGGAGTCGCCTGTCATGGCAAAGAAATCTCAGGTCTTCAAGGGAAATATGCCAGGCTCCAGTCGACCAGCGCCTTCGCCTGTGGCTGTTCCTGTACATCCCACCAAACAGGAGAACAAACCAGTGGCACCCATTCCAAACATGGGGGCCATTGATCTCTCGTCTCCCGAACTGAAGCATTCACCCAGTCCGAAAACAGTCCCCCGAAGCAAGCCGGTGAAGAACTCACCGCAGTTGGCTTCAGTGGCTGCTGCTGCCGCTGCCGCAGGACGACCTGCCAGTGCTCCGCCCAAGAAGGAATCCAAGATCCTCCCACCGCAGATCCCTAGGCCGGGTACTGCGGCACCACAGTTTCCTTCCGGGCCTCCTACCATGCAGGCCAAAGCCGCTTCAGTCCCTGCTCGGAACATGTCCGCATCTCCAGCCATGGCGAACAGCACGCCTGTTGCTGGAGCGGCACCACAACAATCCCAGGGGCTTCCACAGGCCAGCAGCGACAACTTCTTCACCGATATGACCTTTACTGTTGCACCTTCAGCCGAACAGCCAGGTCAGCACCAGCAACCACAGCAAATCGATCTGACCAAGCTTGATGGTTCGAATAACTTTGGTGTAGGGTCCGGATCATCGACCATGGACGTTGACAACGAGATTGACAACTTGTTTGAAGACATAAGCATGAATATGGACTACAATTTGGAAGGAGGTGATTCTGCGGGCGATAACAGCAACTTCAACGACATGTACTTTGACCTGGAGGCCAGCAGCGGTGCTGCCACTTCGGGCAACAACAATAATAACGGCGGCGGCGGCAATAATCTTGGGCTGGATGATTTCGGGTTCCCTCAATAATGGGTGGTTATGGCAGAGGCGCGGGGTCTGGAGTTGTTCTTTGAAGCGTTACGGCATAGCGAATGGATCAAACGGAAGTTGCAGGCAAAGTCGAATAATTCTTGCGGTCTGTCTTTTTAGTGGTGATATGATATTGAGTAGCACGATGATAAGAACATGAAATATATGCAAACGAATTACTACTTGCAAGTCAACCCTCAAGGCCCCTGAGTAACAACATGAAATATATACAAAACGAACCACCACTTCCCAGCCAGCAACTCTCTAAGGCCCCTGAGTAACAGCATACAACCCCTGGATCTTTTGCCTGAACCTCTCATTCCTCCACCCCTTCCACTCCCGATCCATCAACCCCCACGTCTCGTCATAATCCACCGTCCCCTCCCTGATATAGTAACCACCCTGGATAGCCCAAACAGCCCACTCGGCATCGTTCCCCTCGAGGTACCCCACCAAACAGTCCAAATATCTATGATCCTGCTCGTTGAGGCCCCCGTACTGAGAGTCGACCTCACTCCCCTGCATCCCAACCCCAAACTCGCTCATGATTAAAGGTCCAGTGTAGGGCCTGTCCTGCTCCAGCACAAACCCAGACCAGAACCCATACCCAGCCTTGACCAAGTCACAGTTTTTGAACGGGTCGGGGAATGTCACGGTGAAAGAGTAAGCGTGCATCTCCCAGACGTTTTTCCCCTCCCACCCGGAGGTGTCGAGCATTCTGGTCTTTAGATGCACCAGATCAGTTGACGACTGGGCGCCCCCGACGAGGATGAGCAAGTCTTTGTTTGCTTGATGGACTAGATTGCCCGCTCTCTGGATGTTGGCGTACCAGTCCCTTCTGCCGTTCAAGTCCTGCAGGAGAAACGCGCGAAGTTCGTTACGTAAACCGAGGCCGACGACGCCGGGGTGGGACTTTGCCCAGGTGGCCATGAAGGCTAGGGAGGAGAGCCAGGATGAGGTGGAAAAGAAGCGGGAGTTGAAGGGGTTGTAGCCGGAGGCGGTGTCCCACCAGCCGTTGCCGTCGGTGAGGTTGCAGCACCAGGAGGCTTTGGAGACGTGGTTGTCGAGGATGGTGATTATTCCTTTTGACCAGAGGGTGTCGACTACGGCGGCAAAAACGTCGAGGGTGGTGGTGTTGGGGGTTATCCAGGGGTTTTTGGTGATTATCAGGGGGTAGATGTCGTTTATCAGGGCGGGTCTGGACTGCTGCTGGGAGACGGTGGTGAAGGAGGTGTGGACGGGGGTGGTGGGGCCGGAGAAGGTGAGGTCGGAGGAGAAGGTGAGGCGGACGCAGTTGAAGTTTTGGGTGGCGATCCAGGTGGTGATGTAGTCGAGGGGTTGGCGGTGGAGGCCCTCGGGGATGTTTGTCTCCAGATGGCCGGCCCAGTTGATGCAGCGGAGTTTGACGCGCTTGTTATTTGCGTCGAGGATCCAGCGGGAGGAGGTTGATAGGGGGAGGGGTGGGGGGGTAATCACTCCCGGGGTTGGGGCTGGGTCTTGAGGGAGAGGGTTGGGGAGGGCGGATATGCCCGTGACGAGGGAGAGAAGGAGTGACAGGACCTTCATGGTGCTGGTTGAAGAAACAAACCTGCTCAGAGGAAATAGAAAGGGAAGCCTCAAAGGGTAGATATACCCTCCCCTGGACGAGTCAAGTCTTCCCCCCGGTGACAAGCAACGGTTATTAGCCCCCTCTCGGTAGGACAGAGTATTATTTGACAAAGTAATCAGTCTCTCAAACACCAATCATGAAAACCACCATCCAAAAAAACGAGTGTAAGGTATGAAGAAGGAATCGTGAACCACAAAAAGTCCAAGAACCCCTTACACTCTCGCCACCGTCCATACCACCCATCTATATACCCTCCCATCTCAACGAACATCCTCACCTACACCACCCATTAGCCACCCCCTATCCTTTCCCTCCCCTCTCACAGGCTGGATAGGTCACCGGTCAAACAACCAATAACCAAACAAAACCCGGGTGGGTTACAATCTGCCATCAAAAACAGGGTTTCGTACCTCCGTGACGTTACCTACCTACCACCACCGCTCACCGCACACGTTTCCATCAAGTTGATCCCCCAAACCCCATGGAAAAAAAAACAATCATTCGGTAGTAATCAACAGAGTCAAAGCTGACTTTGTATGTTACCTTTCTTCCTAACCCCATGCCCAACCCATCTGATTGGCCACCCATTAGATACGCACCTGTGACCGGGCTTTTCCTCTTCAACGAATAACAGCCCTACCCTCACATCCCAAACCCCTTGCAGCATATTTAGTCCCTTTCCATTCGTATTATTCCTTAAAACCCTTCGCTCCCCTAAATCTGCGAAAGAACGGGATCAAATATTGCCACCATCAAGAAGGCAAAACGAGCTCTACTTGCTCCCGTCCGCCAGAGAATCACTCGGCGAAAGAGCAAGTAAGTCAGGCACAGCTATCTGATTGGTCGGATGAAAATAGTGTTGAGTTTTGGCACCCAAACGCCAACCACATGGACAACACTCCCACCATGTGATGATGCGGGGGCTAATAACTTTCATATGTAAATGTGAGGCCTCAGCCTGCGTGATGGCTTGTCTCGGATACCCATCTCTCTTGTGTTGTACAACAAACATCACGTCAAACCCGTCTCAGTCTGGTGACGCTTCAAGTCAAATGCTCATACACGGGAAAAGAAGGCCAGGGATTACAGGTCAGCACCCCGAATAATATTATTCCAAAATGCTACTCTCTCTTTCCCCCAACTTCCACACCACATCTTCACCCTCTATCTCTCCACCCCAAACCTCAATCTTATTAAACCCCCACCCATAAATATATACCTACAACCCTCTCATCATTGCTATGTCTGCGTCATAAAGTCGTAAAGTGAAACATTAACAAAGTCCAAAAAACGAACGCACTTTCTCAACGCTATTACCAAAGCAAGCAGCCCGCCATGCTCATGCTTCTGTACCACCAAAAAAAAACAGTGATGTGTGTGCCATGCATGCATACGCCAAAACTATATGTGCTAAGCCCAACCCCAAAAGTCTGTCGTGATGTGATGAGACAACAACTCCAGTCAAACTCACCTCTCTGTCCGAGACAAGAAAAGAGTGACTTGGCTTGTCTCATCGGGTATTCCGACAGTGTGAAAAAAAAAGGAAGAAAAAAAAAGAGAAACATGTCCAACGAACCAGAAACAAGGGTATCTATCCTTTTTGAAGAGCCAACAATGAAAATGAACACGAAAAAGAAAAAAAAAGATTCAAGCAGCGGGAGGGGCGGGTGCTGGCGCTGCCACCTTGGCTTCGAGTTCCCTCCTCTTGGCCAAGAGGCTTTTGAATGCTCCCAGGCATCGAACCAGCGCCTCCTCGTCTGTCGCGCAAAACTTGTAGCTCTTCTCGTCCGTGATGATCTGCAAGCAGTGCTTCTTCGTCCTGCTCATGGGGTCGATATCGACCACGTTGACAATGTTGGATAGGTAGGCGATGAACAAAACTGACGACTCCGAGTCGTCCTTGTAAAGCTTGAAGTTTCTGGGTCGCAGTACGGCCCATGACTTCTTCCACTGTCGCACACCTCCCTTGCTCCTCAAAAAAGACATCCACCCTTGCCAGATGATCCGGTCAGGGTCTTGCTCGAGATTGATGCCGCTTGCCTGGCTGGCACTAGGTACGGCTTGCGCCCCTAGTACTCCTCCTCCTTGCGGCGCCTTGCTTGGTCCGCTCGATGCCGTTGGGGGAGACTGGACGCCAAGACTCTCAAATGACGCCCCGTGAACCCTCTGGACATCATAATCTGAAAAGTCCGAATGCGATGCGAGCTCAGTTCCCGACATGCCCGAGGATTCCAGATGCGATGGCCGCCGCGGGGAGGGCCTGGCAAAGGTTCGTGGCGGGGGTTCGAGCGGCTCTGGGGAGCTTGATGCGAGCCGATCCATTGCGCTCGCAGTGTTCTGCGGGTCTACTTCGTGAGTCGGAGAGGTGTTGAAGAAACAAGGCCGTCGCACTGCCGGGCTCGCCAAAAACATCTCTTCCTCCTCCTCTTCTATCCTGGCACCCTGTCTGATCAGATCCACCCATTCTTGCGCATCTTGCTGAGACGAAGCCTGAAAGTGGTAGTTTTTGGAGGGCGAAAACAAGCCAAACACATTCGGGCGCTTGTTCTTGGGGTCTTTGAGCATGGCGACGGCAGTCAGATCTGCCAGGTGGACCTTGTGTCGGAGTTTTTCCTCTTTATCCGACTTGTAGATTGAGAGTGTGCTTGGGCGAAGGACGATGTAGCAAGTTCTCCATGTCTACACAATGCCTTGTTAGTTATCATGACACGCACAGTCCAAGTTCAATGGTCCACCTACCTTTGTCTTTCGCGCACGCTTCTGTACGTAGCCACTCTTGATAACCCGGTCAAACTCGAAACTGCCATTTTGGTTGACTGGAGAGTAGGTGTCTGCAAGGCGGCTCATCAACCTGGCTGTCGGCTGCGGTGGGATCGCAATAGAGGTAGGCGGGAGCTCGACGTATTCGCGACGAGCCTCTTCTGGCTTGGCACCAAGCGACATGGTCGCCAACTGTGTCTGAACCTCGGCGGCCATGGTGTTTTGTGCATGTAGATGAGAGGTAGTATCGAGCAGTGAGTAGAGGGTTGGTCGATCGATCGGGTTGACGGGAATGCTAAGCGAAGGACACCCTCGTGGTAAAAGACAGAATATATGACCGAGCCCGAATGACAGGTGGTCAAGTGGTGTGAAGGCGTGGGCAGAGCAGGAGAAAGCGGCGCAGGGGCTCCCGATGTTGAGATGCAGGAACCAACCGATCGCAAGAAAAATAACAAGTCCAACACCACGAGTGGGTCACAGTTCCCAAGATGCGTGGAATGTCAGTGTCTTGTGCCCCAGGATTGCTTCACAAGGCGCGCACCGCAGGACCGGACGAGTCCGCTGGGCTCGTGCCGCAACAGGCTGTGGGTGGTGAAACCGTCTGCAAAGCTGGGCGTTGCCAACCACCAGATGTTGTCAGGATGGCCTCCGAAGATGCGGCCTGTTTGTTATAGTCTATGTTAGCTGAGTCGTAGCCGCGCGCCGACGGTTGAAGCCGGCCAACTCGAGCTTAATGTGTTTCTCGGAACTCGTGAGCTGTTGCTGGGTCGGTTCGAAAAGACGAGGCGAGAATCTCCATCTGAATATACGGAAAGTACAGTTTTGTTTGTTTGTTTGGAAGGGCGGCGATATTAAAAGTCCAAAAACAAAGAAGACGAGACAAAAAGACGAGTGAGCGTGAGACTGCGACTGGGTTTCAGAGATGACGGCGGCTCTCCACCGTTGGCTTTTGTATTGCATTCCAGGGGCTGATTGGTGCATCGGTGGTGGACAAGCATCATGCCCGGGTGGGTCAGCGCCAATCTGCCGGCTGCCAATGTCGCCAAGACCCATCCGACAGGGCAAAAAGCTGGGGAAATGCTTCTTTTTCTTTGCTGATGGTGGAGGGGCTTTCGACATCATCGCGCTGCTCTGCTTCCATAATTACGTAGTCGAAATCATGCTGCATACTGAAGCAGCAATCACGAGGACTGCAAATACCTACAGTACATACACGGGCAGGCAGAGACTTATGCAATGCAGCCAGAAGAATGAAACGGGTTTCTCAGGCCGTTGGGGTGTCCCACCCAAATCCAATAGACCGGAGATGAGAAATTGATGGACGAGAAATGAGGGGTGGGTTTCGGGCTCGGCGGAGATCACACTGTTCTCACGACAACACACAACCTTCCGAACCGACCGGTGTCGACCGAAGAAGGGAAGGTCGGTTCTGTCCGAGTTGGAGGGGGCAAGGCTTCCGATTGTTTGTGGAGATGCGTCTCATCGCAGCATCCGGAATGACAAACGTTGCCGGGGAGGAGTCAGCCGGTCAGTGATGGTAAGAGCAAGACGCCATTGGCTGGCCGGACTGACTTTGAACCGTCAGTTGACTTACAAGTGACACTATCTACTACAAGATGCTTTTGAACGCCTTGCCTAGCCATCATGTGTGACTTGACACCCATCACTCAACGATAGCTCCAAGCTCACCATCATGGCCGCCTCCAAGTCCCATCCCAAGAGCCAGCAGGTGGCCGAGCAGGTTCAGGAAGAACTCAACGGCACCCCGTACAAGCTCACATCTCTTGAACCCTTGTCAGGAGGACTTGCCAATTTCCTCTTCAGAGGTCGTCTCACCAATCCGTTACCCGACTCGTCCCACGATGTTGCCATCAAGCATGGAGAGAGCTTCATTGCTGGAATGCCCGAAAGTGACTGGGTGATTCCCACAACTCGCTGCGTTAAGTTTCCGGCCGTTTTAGCTACAACTCGATGTCACTAACACACACCAGCAAGTAGAGGAAGAGTGTCTCAAAGCCATTCAAAGCATGCCAATTCCAGAAGCGCCCTGTGTGACCCGGACACCCAAACTCTACTACTACAACTCGGATACCAACACTCAAGTCCAGGAATATCTCCCAGATGCCATCAGTCTCAAGGACTACGCCCTCAAGCACTTCTCCGCAACCCGTGATGTGTCCAGAAAACCAGCATGTCTCGACATTGGCAAGAGTCTAGGCATATGGCTCCGCAGTTTCCACCACTGGGCAAATCAGTCAGAGCAGTCTGGTCTGCGTGGAGCACTAAAGTTGAATGCCAACCTCCAAGAACTGAGACACATGACCAATTACCAGACGTTGGTTAGTGATGTTGACACTTGTCCAGAGATACTCTCGGATGCAAAGGAGGTCTTTGAGAAAGTGGAGAGAATGGCAGCAGAAGAACTTGGGAGCGGGAAGTTGGAAGTCATACATGGTGACTTCTGGACGGGAAAGTAAGTCGATACCCAGCACCCTTGTGTCGGTCCCATTGTTCACAGTATCCCCAGCACACTTCTCGCAGACCAGCCCCTTGAAGATGGCCAACGCCCAAACATCTTCATCGTAGACTGGGAAATGTGCCAGCTCAACGTCCACCCCCTTGATCTAGGACAAATGATGGCCGAACTCTACGAACTATTCCTCTTCAAGGGCATCGAAGAAGGCAAGTGGATCATCGAGGGTTTTGTCTCTGGTTACGGCAACATCGACGACAAATTCGCCTATCGCATTGCCATCCAACTCGGCACTCACCTCATCGTCTGGGGATCTCGCGCCCAAGGCTGGGGTACAGAAGAGCAAGTCGCAGAAGTGATGGCAAAAGGCAAGGAAATCATTGTCAAGGCGTGGCATGAAGATCGCACGTGGTTTGAGGCAGGAGATTTGGCTTGTCTGTTTAGTGGCAGGTCGTGATCTGCGATTTCCGTGATCCGCGGGGTGGTTTTGCCGGCGGCGGCTGTTGGGTGGTTGTGGTGATGTGAGACGAGAGGGCAAACAGCCGCCTTTACCACCATTTCCCGCCTTGGGAAGTCCGGATGGGGGAATGACGGCTCGTCGAAACTGGAGAGGCAAGTATGCAAGATTTTGACAAGACGGATTGGTTCCTGCTGGGCTTTGAAACTCTGGACGGCGAGTCTCAAGAGGCCGGCTCGGTCTGCAAAACACGGCGGATTGGAATTCCGAGTGTTCCGGAATTGCATCAATGATCTGGCCTGTTGGTTCGTCTGGGATTGAATAAAGACTGTTGCCTCCTTGTTGTATTATGGACGTTGCGTTCATCTTTTCGCTGCTACTGGTGATGCCATATGGGCTCTGAATTGGAGTCCACCCATTGAGTTATCTCTTTTCACTCGGCTTGGAGTGATGATGCAAGCCCGCTGGCCTCCATAAACTAATCAAAGCACATAGCATTTGGGCCTCTAACCAATTCCAGGACTGAAGGGTGTGTAGCCGCAAACAATGGCACCGCGACCCTCTCGTAGATTGAGCTTCTCTAATCCCTTTCTCAATCGTTCTGACATATCATAGGGATCCTTCAGGCTCCTCGGGTGGTTCTTGTTGTGGTGTTTCCAATGCTCAACTTTATTCTCTACCGTGAGATTCTCTTCTCCAAAACCCCTATCGGGTTATGCTCACACAAGCAGTAATCCTCTCCCTTGGCTGCAGCAGCACCTCCCTCAGCGACATCTCCCCAGTCATAGCCCGCACCGACAGTCCAATAAACATCGGCGGGCAAGACATTGTCGTCGACCTACGAGTTGGCTTCTATGGTACCCCATCTCCCATCCTATCCGTCCCATCAACTCTGATGCTCACCTCCGTCGTAGGAATATGCCTCGGCCCACCCCCCCTCTTCTGCACCTCCTCCTCCAGCATACTCAACCCCAAGCGCGAATCCGACCTCGCTCGCTCCATCCCGCTGTCCAAAGGCGGCGGAAATTTCGCCCTCGCCGGCCTAGCCCTCAGCCTCCAGTCCAGTTTCATCGTTTTGTCTGGCTTCCCACTTCTACTCTCTCTCATCGTCTCGATACTGGCCAACATGATCCAGATATACTTCTCCTCTCAGGGCATGATCGAACTCCACGCCAAAGCGGCCTTGTGGGCGAGGAGTCTCGACTGGGCGGCTGCTGCGGGGGCAGTGATGGGGTTCAGTGCCTATCAGAGCATTGTTGCTGCTGCGCCGAGGTTGATAAGAGTGTTGATGTCGGGGGCGATGGTAGACATTAGCGTGGGAGGGACGGCAAGTAGTTTGTTTGCTGGGGTTGTTGCTCTGACGATTCTTGGGGCGGTGATTAACACATTGTTGACTGGGGGGGATGTAGGGTCTGATGCTTTTGTTGCTGGGAAGACCATGGGGAAGCAAAAGACAACGGCGGGAGGGCAGGTGGGTGATAGGGGGAGGATGTCGAGGATGTTTATGAGGAGGCCGGCGTATGAGGTGTTTCCTTGACTTTGGGTGGTGAAATAGCACCGGAAGATCTTAAGAGACCAAATCTAGTGCTCAAGACAGAGACAACAGTGGGAGAGGGTTGGATCCCCTATTCGTCCCAGCGTGCCCAGTCATTATATGAACCCTAACCCTATCTCAGATGAAGTTCAAAAGGCAAAACCTTGGATGAACTTTCGGTGACTCAAGAACACAAGTGAGATGGCAACCTGAGATATTACACACAAAGAACCAAGGGAAATCCGATCCAGGCTCAGGATTCGGCAGTTCAACTCATTTGAAACGATTTATTTCGACTTACAAACCGCAGTCCCCCGTGAAGAATGACGTCGAACTCGACAGCGGGGTCATCACCCCAGTTCTGTACAAAATGCCGTACTCAGGAGGCTACGCACGACCAGAGAAGTCACGCTGTATGCGTGTAAGTATTTTTTTCTCTCTTCACAAAACCGTTTTGATCAAACACTAACCACCCCCCCCCCCAGAGACTGCTTCACAAAATTCATCAACACCAAATCCGTCAAACAGCTCGGCATTCTAGGCAAAGAGACCAAACCCCCCATCATCCCCAACCCATCCGGCTCCGGCCCTCCCCAAATCGGCACCCGTCGCTACCTCCTCGGCCTCTCCCTGGGCGTCTCCTCCACCTGCCTCCTCCAGCTCCTCCACGAAAACTGCCAGTTCCAACTCTCAAAAGGCCGGCCAGCCCCCTTTGAGCTAACAGTCGTCCACATCTACAACGACACCTTCACCACCCCCTCCACCGCCGAATCTTTCCTCCTTCCACACAAAAACCGCTACCCAACATTCACCTTCCTCTCCCACCCTCTATCATCCTCCCTCACCCTCCCCTCGATAGACTGGCCCTCTTTTCTCTCCGCCCTATCCCTCCCCCCATCCCCAGTCCCCACCTTACCAACCCTCCTCTCCTCCCTGCCCCCCTCCCAAGCCTCCCAATCAGACATTATCAGCCTCCTAACCCGCCACATCCTCCTCTCCCTCACCCTCTCCACCTCCAGCCAGGCCCTCCTGTTAGGGCACAGCACCACCGCCATCGCCGAACTAACCCTCTCCCAAACCACCAAGGGCCGCGGCTTCTCCCTCCCCTGGACAATAAACGACGGCCTCCTCTCCCTTCCCAATCTCTCCCAACCCGTTTTGGTGTTCCACCCCCTCCGGGACATCCTCCGCAAGGAACTAGTCGAGTTCACCAAGCTCACCTCCCCGCCTTTGACGGGACTGATCCCTGACGTGGAAAAGAGCAACAACCCTGAGGCTCATCAGGTGCTGAACCACAAGGATTTGAGCATCGAGGAGGTCATGACGAGGTATTTTGCCGATGTGGAGAGGAGTTACCCCAGTGTGGTTGCCAATGTTGCTAGGACGAGCGCGAGGTTGGTGAGGATATTTGATGAGGACAGAAAGGGGTGTGGGCTTTGTGGGATGCCGATGGATGGGGAGGGGGAA